ATATATTTTCATTTTATAAGTTTCATAAAAAATTATATAACACAAATAAAGTTATTTATGGTCAAAGTTGACATGGAAAGACTTCAAAAGTTAAACGTGGATAATAATTTTGGAACGGAGGGAGTATATATTTAAGTTTATGGTTTTTGTTTCTCTACACAAAAATTATAATGTTGTGTAAAATATATTAAAAAAAATAAATGAGGGGAAATAAGTGTGACCACTTTCTGGTTTTTGAAGAGTGAAGGAGTTTAATGGGAAAATGAGGTGGCGCTGAGGTGACACACGAAAGGTGAGGGGTGAAAAATGATTACACCCTCCGCCGTAATGGAGTATTCCCTTTAATGACGTATACAACTGGGATTATGAGGCCATTAAAATATAAACATAAAAATGGGAATATGATTTTGGGAATCGATCACCTATACCTATGCTCAACGAATCAAACACTTAAAACCCATGGAAAAACTTAATTGGGCAGGGAAAATGAAAACCCATAAGAAATGTAGGGTTTAATGAGAGACTTTGGGCTTCTAATGTGAGAGAGAATAATACCTTAAAAGCCGCAAATTTATAAACCCTAGCTAAAGTAAATAACATATATGTAGGATTTTAGAACATATAACTCTTAGGGATTCCTTTTTTGTTCAGGTAAAAAAATAGATTTGTGAGATGATAACTATATAAGGTTTTTTAGGAAACATAACCATTGAAGAATACATCTATAGAGTTCAATGAAGAGAGCATTTACCATACAATATGAACGTTGGTCCTACAGATGACACCACTGATGCGAACTATAATTTAACCATTGAGTCTCGGTGTCGGAACAAGATATAGATCTGGGATAGGTGTCATTGGTAGGCTGATGACTTAATTCTTAGTATCCATCATTGAGAGAAGTTGTTAACTTTGACCATAAATTATATAACAAAAAGTAAATTATTTGAGGTCAAAGTTGAACAAAAGAGACTTCAAAAGTCAAACGTGGACAATAATTTTGGGACGAAGGGAGTATATATTTAAGTTTATGGTTTTTCTTTCTCTACACAAAAATTATAATATTGGTGTAAAATATATTTAAAAAAATAAATGAGGGGAAATAAGTGTGACCATTTTCTGGTTTTTGAAGAGTGAAGGAGTTTAATGGGAAAATGAGATGACGCTGAGGTGACACACGAAAGGTGAGGGGTGAAAAATGATTACACCCTCCGTCGTAATGGAATATTCCCTTTAATGACGTATACAACTAGGATTATGAGGCCATTAAAATATAAACATAAAAATTAAAATATGATTTCGGGAATCGATCACCTATACCTATGCTCAACGAATCAAACACTTAATACCCATGGAAAAACTTAACTGGGTGGGGAAAATGAAAACCCATAAGAAATGTAGGGTTTAATGAGAGACTTTGGGCTTCTAATGTGAGAGAGGATAATACCTTAAAAGCCGCAAATTTATAAACCCTGGCTAAAGTAAATAACATATAAGTACGATTTTAGAACATATAACTCTTAGGGTTTCTATTTTTGTTCAGGTAAAAAAAATAGATTTGTGAGATGATAACTATATAAGGTTTTTTAAGAGACATAACCATTGAAGAATACATCTGTAGAGATCGATGAGGAGAGCATAGACCATACAATAAGAACGTTGGTCCTACAGATGACACCACCGATGCGAACTATAATCTAACCATCGAGTCTCGGTGTCGGAACAAGATATAGATCTGGGATAGGTGTCATTGGTAGGCTGATGACTTAATTCTTAGTTGCCATCATTGAGAGAAATTGTTAACCCCCCCCCCCCCAAGTATATGTTTCCCGTGAATAAGCTCCAAAGATCAGATTAGATTTATTTATAAGAGGAGATCGTTTCTCCTAGCCGGAGGGAACCATCTTGGTGGGAGAAGTGTCTAACTGTAAAGAGGGATCATACCTAGAATTTAGGGATTTCTATGAAGGAGGGAGGATACCTTATTTATAGGGATAGTGAAAGCACATTTAGGTCGGACCTTGTTATTAAGGACAACCAAATTTAAGACCAACTAGTCGTGGGCTGCATAACGTTGTTGTGCGGCTTCGCTGCTCTTTTGCACCTATGTGACTTTTCTGTGCAGCTATGTAGTACTGCTATGATGCGAGGTTATGATGCAGGTTCTTCTAATAGACTTGTTCTGAACAAGTGCCCCAGTCCAATGTGAATGATTTGTTGCCAATTACATTGAATTTGATATAGTCATATAAATTATACACATTGGTGACGACATTAACGAAAACTTTAATAAGCGACGACACCCGTAGCAATGAGTAATGTATTAGTCATGACAATATTTAGTAGTGACGGTAATAGTGACGAGAAAAGCAATAGCGGAAACATGATTTAGCGATGACAATATTAGAAATGACAAATGAGCAATAGTGATGTTGCAATAGCAACTGTGTTTTAACGGTGACATGTAGGGTCTTTAGCGACGACATTTGTCGCCCTTGCTGCCCTTATTTCTTTTCATGACACATATTCCACCAAACGACCATATGGTACCTTACAATCGTTAAATCTGCCTTCACAAAGTTAGGAAGGGATATCCATGGAGTTCGTAATGCACTTACCTCCCTCCAATGGTAAAACCATGATTTGGATTATCATAAATAATTTAACTAAATACGTGAACTTCATTTCTCTTGCACCAACTATTACTGCTCCTAAATTGGCTGACATATTTGCAACTAAATTTAATACACGTTTCTCTGGTACGATCCCTCTTGTTGAATTAAATTAAGTTGGGGTGGTAGCATTTTTCTGCGGACCATGGCACGAATGATTATGTGTTGCAGTGTGGGTCATGTCATCATGTAGCGACGCGACAAGTATGGACTGCGACATGATGGAGGTTGAGCTTAAAACACTAGATCCCGGGCCTTGAGCCTAATTTAATGCATGCTAAACTCTAGGGTTTCTACAGACCTCATCCTCCTCCATCCCAAACGAAACCCTATCCCCATTTTCATGCATTAGGGAATTCCTAGTGTTTTAGTTTTCAAAGAGAGCTCATAAGTGTGCAAGTTGGTGTTGGTGTTTATCCTCAGCCCAAGAGTCTAACTTCTAGTCCCTCCTTCTGCATTGTAAATTTATAAGATCCTTGCTTTATTTGTTTTGATGCATAAATCTAAGGTTCATCTTGACTTTTGGTCACTTTTGAGCCATTTAACCTTGTGTTCTTGGAGTTTGAGTAACTCCAGAACCCTAGAATGCTAGAAGACATGTTTTTAGACCTAATGATGGAGGAAAATGAGTGTGTATGAGTTCTTTTGCAACCATGCACAATATTGTGAGATTTTATGGTTTTAATCAAGTTAGGGTTTTAGATTGGGTTTGATCTAGCCATTAGAATGAATAAAGTTAGAAACTTTATCCATTAAGTTACTAAAGTAAATCAGATATGAGAATTTATGCCTTGATTTATAAGGATTAAATGCTTAATGAGTTAAGTGTTCTGCCAAAGGAATCGTGGCTGTTTTGTCGTGAATGGGTTGCGGTGCGACCAAAAACTGGGTCGCGACACAGTTACCATTGACTGTTGACTTTGAATTAGTTTTATTTTTGGTTAAGTTTGTTGAATTTGAGGCTCAAACCATAGATTAAAGAGCAAAATAGTCTTTTTCTCTAAGCTCTGATACGAATTGTTGGGTTTTATTCAAAAATTTGGTTTAAAAAACACAAAGATGGCAACAGAAGCATTTAAGATTTGGATAACATAAAGGTGGGTAAAGGTATCGTCAGTTGCAGAAGCAACACTCTAAAATGACTTTTACGCATATAGATCTTTCAACTAGTTTATTTATCATAAAGGAGTAAAAACGACAGCTAACGACAATAAACAAGACCATATATAGTAGTTTATTATGTTACGAGAGGGGGAATGACAAATAAGTAGGTTTTTAAGACTTTGAATATAAATTAACATTTCATTCCGAAGGTGTTCTTTGCATTTAACACTATGTTTTTTCAATTAATAATACATAAAAACACATAAACAAGTCTCGGTGTGCATTCTAGAATTTCATTAAGTATGGAGCTTATTGTGCCCAAAAACCGTTTCCATTAAATATAACAACTTTATGATTTTTTTTGGAAAACGACGAATATCATAAAATCCACATCAAGGCGATGAGGAGGAAAATATAAAACAGTACAAGAAGAGTATGAAGGAAAGAAAACAGGAAAAAAATTGGAGAAAATTACAAACAAAAGAAAGGACATAAGTTCCAAACTCTCCGGTCCATTTTTTTGAATGATTTCCTATGTTTGCACCAGATGAATGTTTTTGTTTTTATTCTTTTCACTGTATTCGCCGGGACTACTGAAGCTTTTTCAAAAATCCTTTTGTTTCTATCCGTCCATATACACCATAAAACTCCACTTAATATCGCATATTCGCATTTAGCATACTTCTTTTAAGTTTACACTTAGACCATCTTTAGATGAAGATGAGCACATCTCGCATCGAATTTCACACCAAGCGAGAATTGAATCCATGATTGTTGTTGCTACATTGCATGTTATCAACACATGATCACTTGTCTCCTCCTCCTTACTACACGCACAACTTTATGATATGTGGGTGCATTTTACTATTTGCAAAATCCAAGGGTCAATTTCTCACTTTTTGCATTCTTAACCACTTGCATTATTGTACCAGGTCAATGATATTTGCATTCATAACCCTAACATAATAATTGACATTTTCTATCCTATTTTATTTGTCAAAAATTATATCTTTTTCATTAATTCAGCGTTTTTGCTCTTATAAACACCATTAACACAGCTGTAGTAAATTCATAATTTGCATTATAATCTGTTGTAAAATCTATACAACGTCATGATATGACTTCATCACCTACGATTCGTGTTTATAAGTATACCCACCCTCGGTCTTCCCTTCCATCTTCAGATCTTCTTCACAAATTTCTTTCTTGGGTACATCTGATTCCATGGATGGATCTTCAGCCCCCTCGTTCAATGGCCCACGCGCCGAGCCTTCTTACTCGTCGGTCAACGACCCATACTACGCCGCCGGTAAATCTGCTCCGTCGTACACAGATATGAATACAGGCCGGCCGATTTCAGGTACCCAAGATCAACTTCATATGAGGGGTATCCATGGTGATTCAGATATGAAACGACAGCCGACTTTCAAAGACGTGGCTCCAGGCCTTGGGAAGTCATCTATAGCTCCGGCGGCTGGCGCCGGAAACGTCAACCGTGATGCGATTCACGACAACGAGAAGCCGTATACCGTCGGAGATATCGCCGATGCACGCAGGCACGTTTCCGTCACTGCTGGTACGTCTCCATATGATCAGGAAGGTAAAATGCCGTCAAACAGCGACGTGCGACTGGTCATTCACAGTTCCGGCGGTCAACAGGGTGGTTATCAGTACACGTCGGGTCCGAAGAGTTACAACGGCGATAACTTCGGCCGGTTTATCTGGTGACCTTGATTGAAAACCTGAAGTGGGTATCTTTAATGGCGACGACGATTGCTTTGATGGTTTATCCTGTTTTTAGTTCTCAGAATTGCGTGAATGATGAGTTTTAGGTTTATTGGAAATAAACAATTCTATTTTCTTGTTATTTATTATTGTTATTACTATTAATATTTCTTAGAAATGTTTGAAAAGTCACAATTGGAATACCATAAATAATGAGAATATTAATATGTACAAAACTGGAGTTTTTTAAAAAAATTTGGAGCATATTATAAGCTTAAAGTCGTGTCTTGCCACTTGACTTTTTCAATCATCGTTTTTTATAACCAATAAAACATCAAAGCAACCGATAAGGTGCATTTCTCTCAACATAGAAATGTATCTTTTAAATTGTTAAACAATAAAGATATAATGATTGGTAAGGTAACAAATTTTTGTAATAGTATATATTTATTTAGTCACTTAGTTTTAATAAAAAGTTTATCAAAACATTATGATTGGCAATCTGATGAAGATTGGGACGTTATTGACCGTTGAAAATGGATAACTTGATTTGCAGGAACACATAAATCTAGAAGGATGAACATGAAGATATTATTGATGAACCCATACCTCTTAAATCTTTCAGATGTATTATTGAATAACAATCTTGATTTCAATATCTAAAATGTTTAAGGAACTTTATTTTCAGATCATCAGAAATATGTGGGGAACATGATTTCACGCAGAGAATTTGATCCAACTAATACGAATAGTTGAGTTAATCGTTCATCACTCTACTTTGTTAATAAAAGTTAGACAGAGAATTTGATGTTAACTAATACGAATAGTTGCGTTATCGTTCATCACTCTACTTTGTTAAACAAAGTTAGCTAACTCGGGTCTTATTAATTATCACTATCAATATAAATCCATGTTATTAATTTAAGTCTTTTGAGTTAAATATTTAGTAATGTATAAACATGTATGTTAGTTTATTTAATTGTTTAAATGTTCAATAGATGTCATTATAAATAATCTTAAACCCTACAACACGTATGTAAAAATATAATTTTCTTCTAGACAACTACCAAGTAACTTAAATAATTTCCTTTTGGACGTTGACTAATTAATGAGCATGGACTTATATTCACAGTTTCATACCTAGGCTAGCATGTGAAGCTGCCATGTGAACATGAAAATTTAGTAATCAAAATCTGATATCCGATCTCGATTAAAAATTCACATTTACATTAATAGTACATAACAAAAAATAACTTTTCATATTACATGTTTTCAATCCAAAATATAGCATTTATAATCCATTTAATTCTAAAACTTTTAATAAATTGTCACATATTATATATTCTACAATTTGGTCATTTGATAACTACACTTCATTAAACTTTACAATGTTCAATAGATAAACACATTTTTATTTAATAAAACCTTGTAAGACTCACTAAAATACCAATTTAACCTATGGGTTATGATACAACTCCACCATTTAACTCTCTCACTTTAAACTCTCCACACTGAATTGATTGAGTCTCTGTTAAATGTCATGCCATACCACCTTAGCCAATAATACATATTCTATGATTAATTTCCTAATCATATTATATCTAACACCTTAAGTGTCTAAGCTTTCTGTTATATACTTAGCTAAATACCTTAGCCAAGGTAGTTGCTCTATTTCAATGTATAAATATGGAATAAATTAAGGGAATTGAGTAATCTAACCCTTGTAAACGATCATTTTAACAAACATAATCAACATTTTTTTTGATAAAATGACCATTTGCTACGGAACATAGCATTCCAGAGTACGATGTTTTGTTCCGGAGGTGTGATCCGGAACACGATATTCCGTAGTATTTATGATATTGTTCCGGAGGGGTTGCCTGTTGGCGGGGATGAGGTTCGGAATCTGACACTCCGTACCTTCCGGACTGGAGAAATGTATTCTGGACTGACGTCCGAAACGGTCGTACATTCCAGCATGGCGTTTCGGAGAGATAGAATTAGGGTTTTCTATGTTTTTTCTTCCAAATATGCAATACATTTGTGTATTCGATACTTTCGAAAAACATTCCGGAATGAGTACGTATACGGGTTTTTTCCGAGTTCCAGTTTCTAGTCGAGGGCAATGGCAGCGTATCCACGAATGTATGCAATATCTTGCTCTGGATTACACATGCTTTGGTGTAGATATAGCCAATGATATCAACTTCGTTGGGTTAGTTATGTTGGTTGCTTCCAAGTCCAGGTTACACAAAAATAAAATTCATCTATCTTTTCAATGTCATGGATCAAATATAGTTATGCAGATTCTTGACGATAGTGATGTTCTTAGTTTTGTTATTACTATGCCCCAACACAGTACAATTGTTTATTGTTAATAATGTTATAGATAGTAGTACTAATCGATTTCCCAAGGAAATTCGTTCTGGAAATGGTTCTTCCGGTGCTAGAAGTAACCAAATTTGTAATTTATTACCTATGACAACCAACCATGTTCCTTCTTACAAGGACCCTATACATAGGGGTGATTGGAGGTCTAAAGGTAAGGTTGTTGTTCTGGATGACCTTACTGTTGATGATGATGAATCTACGAATGATGAGGCAAAACTAATGATGTTGGTTGATGATGGTAATATAGTTCCACATGGAGAGCCAGTGGAACATTTTCAGAGTTACATTGAATTTGATGGGGGATGATCATGAAGATGGAGAAGAGGAAACTGATCCCTTACCACAACCCCGAAAAGCACAACAGGAAAAGTTTCCTTATTATTTTTCTGATTGCGAAGAAACACAACCCACCCATTGGGGTATGCATGATCCTTTACCTCTGCCCGCATTAGCTCAAAAAATCGTGAGGGGGCCACAACACACAACTATAATTCACATGTTAAGTTATTCCAACTCTTCAAAAACAAAGAAGAGCTTAAGCTTAATTTAGGAAAGAAAAGTGTTAGTGAAGGTTTCCAATATAAAGTGAAAAAATATACAAAAGACAGGTTTGAAGTTGTTTGCTATATGGATAATTGTGACTGGTGGATTTGGGCAAAAAAACATAATACTAGTGATTCATTTCAAGTGGTTAAACTATCGGAGAAACACACTTGCTCAAACACACAACTACATCCCCATCACCAACAAGCCAACAACAAGGTATTGGGTCATTTCTTGAAGGACATATTAGATGATAGTACCGGTAATAAGTTGCGGGGGAAACAGATACAACGAACTTTAAATGACCGTCTTTGTGTAAATGTTTCATACTAGCAAGCATGGAATGCTAAAATGTATACTCTAAATCTATTGAGAGGTACCCCTGAAGAAAGCTTTCTTAGACTACCCATATACTGTTACAACTTGGAGAAGAAGAATCCAGGGATGGTTACACATATAAAGACGAGTGATGACAACAAATTTGAATACTTTTTCATGGCTATAGGTTGCGCGGTAATATATATTATATACCTACTTCTTATATTTAATATCCAGACACATGTCTTTTCTTTAATTAGATTATTAATTATTTTTTAGGTTCGAGTGTTTCAAATTGATGGGTTTTATACATAAGAACAATCCTATGTGCTCATACAAACCCTAATGCTTGGATCTAGGTTTCTCTATTGTACATACTTTGAATCCAAGACTTACAAACCTAGATCTATCATATATAATTCGAAATTATCATTAAGAAAATAGATCTAAGTGGTTTACTTCTTTCAAGTAGCTTGAATCCTTGTAATCTTCTTGATCTTGAGCTTAGAGTCATAATTGTAACTCCTCTAATGGTTCACAAACCCCACAAGCAAGAAGGTAATATGAGAGAGGGTGAGAGATGCTAAAATCGGCCCTAGGGTTCCCTTGGAATAAATTCTAGCCGATTTCCATAGCCTAGGGGTCATATTTATACTTGCAGGCTACTAGGGTTTCAGTCTAAACCCTAATGGACAGCTTAGCCACCAAGCAGCCCAAGAAACCTTCTGGAATAAGGCATTGGATGAAAATATGATGGATCCCCATCATAATTTCGTTCCCCCTTAAGTCCATTAGGTTTCCTTAACCCAAAACTTAACTATCACACATTTGACAGTTTATATCCCTTTATTTAATTAATCTATTTTAGTCACCAAATTAATTCCTAATTAATTTATGACCAATACTAATTAAATAAATATGATTTCTCCTTTAATATATTATTCTTATAATATATTAATAAACCATAATATTCTCTCTCTCTCTCTCTTAAATTACCTTGTCAAGTTGCTTTGGAGAAGGCAACCCAAAAGGACCATGCACAATCGGGTCAAGTACATACCAAATATAGTTACGGGCTTAGACACTAATCCAACAGTCTCCCACTTGGATAAGTCTAGTAACTATATCTCATATATGTCTTCAGAATCCGATTAGCAATCGTAGCTCTTATACTTCGCTGTCAACTCTGATCAGCAATTTGTCCTTCAGATAAGGGATCGTATAATCCTCTGTTCTAGATATCATGCTGACAATACTTGTTGTTCAGCACTTTGTTTCTCGATCTCTGATTCGTTCGACATAGAATTTAGTTGAACACATCAACCTCATCCTGACCGGGCCCGACACATAAGTCAAACCAAATCATCGAGTGGCCAAGATATCGCTTTTATTCTCTTAGAATAAAAGGTACAGAAGAACTTCGACTTATATGCTTTTATCATTTACTAGCTAAGTTACACACAATAATGTGTTTTATAACATCAAGTTACTGATGCGTTTTCGCATTATCAATGTATAATCAACTAGCAAACAACAACCATATCTCTAGGTTTAAAGATTATATGATATTATCATCTTGCGATCACTTGTGATAACTTTCATAAAGTGATACTAGCAAGTGCGGGTTTATTCCAATGCTCAAAACATATTTCATAAGCACTCATAAACTTTGCAGCAAACCTTTGCTATGTCTAAAACCTTTTAGACAATCTACAAACTAATTTATGACAATCTTCTTTCATATCTACTTC